AACATACAAGTGTATCCATTAACAGCAGCTGCTTCCTCAAAATGGGTGCATGCATGTTGGAGCCTCTAAAACAAACCCTGCTACAGAAGATGACAGAGAAAACAAGAGTTTGTTTGCACAGCGAACAGATGATAATATGCTGCTTAAACACCACATCTATTCAGACTCTCCCATGTATGGCTTCAGCTTCATAGACAAGAGAAATAAGGAAAAGCATAATAATAATAAGGCCAGCAAGTTTTCTCAAAGCTGTGACTCTTATCTTCTTCTGTTCATGGTGACGCAGGTGGAGTGGACAAAAATAGCTGCTTCTAAAACTGGAGGGTAACGTCTGAGACTGAGGCTGAACTTGTGAAACGATCCATGTCCTCAGACCCATTATACCAAAATGTGGAATCATAGAGGAATAAAGACTGAAAAGCATAATTCAGTGGACACCAAACTTTCAGTGCTGTGTTTCTTTCTTTTCTTTTTGCAGTTTAACAGTTAATATCTTTATTAACAACCATATAGCCTACTAAACGCACCTCAGAGTAACACAAAGCAGGAGACACTGTGGCTTAACCACTAAGTGGAAAGGTTTCAGGTAATCTTACTGAAGGACCAGTTTGGGAAACACTTTGGGGAATGCGCTTATTCACCTTCTTGTTGAGAGTCACATGAGAGGATCAACACCACTGTAATGTCCATAAGTAAATATGAAGCTGAAGCCAATGGTCAATTAGTTTAGCTTAGCATACAGGATGGAAACAGCTAGCATGGCTCTGTCCAACAGTAAAATTCATCCAACAGCGCACTTATTTACATGTCGCTTAAATACAAGGAGAGCCAACTTAAAGCAGAATCAGAGACCCCAGTCCACTGTTTTAACCTCTGAATAAAGATGGGATGGTCTATGTCTCAAGGGCCGCACTTATGGTCTAAGAATGAGAGGATGGCGCAGTTTGCTGAGGCCACTGCTAAGATGAGGTTGCTACCTACTCACAGTAATGCAGATTCTGTTCTGTGATGAGCCCTAAAGCCAGACTGAAACCGAGTTTGGAGATTGGTCTAGATCTGTAGAGGACTGAGGGATCTAGCGTGTGCTTTCTACCTTCACTTCTATTTGTTCAATAGTGGAGATTCCCTCATGTTTTCTCAAATAAAAATGTTTAAGAAAAGTACAGAAGTGCAGCAAGTTGCATCCACATGTGCAACAGACGGTAAACACAACACTGATGTACAGTTTTATCACCTCAAAGTGCCAAACCTGTTAGCAAGCTGTTGCTTTTTAACACTTCCAGCAGACACAGAGCAACACAGCATTTGGTTGAAGTTGTGTTTTGGACATCTTGATTAACTCCAATATTCACTCTCCTTTTAAATTAGTTTTAGTCTCCAGCTCCTGAGCAAAATTACTCTAACATCTAAATGTCTTGTTGTGCTTATCAGCTAGTCACAAACTTTGTCAGTCTACTCTTGGGGCAAGTAGTGTACAGTGAGTTTTAAAGAGGTATTGGTTGAAAACAGCTGCAAGTGGAAACAATACTGATGAGAGTGAAGCAAAACAGCAGAAATGCTGGTGTAAAAATATAAACAATAAGCTAAAAGAGCTCTGAGAGCTTCAACAGCTTTAAGACAGCTTTAAGTATCAGCAAATGAGCAGAGTTATGTCAGTAACGCTTTGCTATGTAAGTAATATGGTGAAGCTACATGAACATAACGCCTCCATTTCCATTCACCTTCCAAAGTACAAAAGGACTTTTGATTAAAAAAGATTTGACTATTATGTCATTTTGCGTTTTGTAAGCTTTTTGTTTGAACACCTGTTTCTGTGCAGATCCCTTTGTCAAACAGCCTTTGGGCATTGCGTTGTTGCCTAGCACAGGTGCATCTGTCAGATCAACCACACCTTCATGACAACTAGCAACAGGCTGAGAGACGTTTCCAAATTATATACAAATGGGAAAGAAGGTTCTCCTCTGAGCTACCAGACGGCCCAAATGTCAACTTTATTCTCATAAATAACATGTTAAATCAGAAAAAAAAGGGCTGAAACATCACAGGGTAAACTCTAAAAATAAAAACAAAAACCTGAAAGAAAAAGGAAACGTGCACAGTTATTAGTAGACTAGATGAAAGAATGAAGGCCCTGTATCAGCACTGCTTGGTTGTGAGGAACAACACAGTAAAGAGAACTACATATGACCCTGCCTGGTGCTATTTAAACACCACCAGCACCAGGGAAGGAAAGGAAATGGGACTCTCCTTTGATGAACCTGAAGTTGAACCTGGGCTCTATGCCTTGAGGACATTTTACACGGATTATCACCAACAGTGTGTTGTGTATCCAGTTTCTCATGATTTTTGTGGCCTCTCTTCCATTTTGTTTTGGTGACTCATTCACCAGTGAGTCTCCATTCAGCCTGTGCTTGTCTGCAACATTTTAAATTGGATGTCTACACATGATTGCATGTTGGCACATATCATGACAAGTATTTCCCTGTTTGTAATGACTACAGGGTACTGGACACACGGTGAAACCACAACTACATGAAGAATACTTGGTATTTTTATTTACCTTTAACTGGGGAAACTGGCATTTTGCATAACTGTCTGCATTTGTGAGCGCTTTGACTGTTACAGTATTTAATCTTTTCCACATGAAGTTGATTTTTCTTTTGATCTTAATGGGGGTTTTTTCCCCCAAAATACTTATACTTGTGTGTTCGATGACATGCAAGTACGTATTTGAAAATACAGGACTGGATATCAAACTTTTGTACATTTGTGGAATCAGTGTTCAAAAAAGAGGCCTGTAACTTACAGCTGTTGTTATTTTTGACTCACAGTTGTCCTTTAACAGTCAGGTGACAAACGTTGTTCAATCCTGCTTTGTCCAACTGAGTTATTTAGATCATTCTTTTCATCTGCAGATCTAGAAAAGATCATCATGTTTGTATTTCCTTCAGACTGGACTACTGAAACAGCAAACATTCAAAGCAAGGAATTGTTACAGAGCACCTGCCAAAAATGTGTAGATGATGTAAAAGTTTCCTCCTTTTTTTTTTTTAAAATCAGTTCCTGACTTACAGTTACATTTACAAATTACTTTATTTTATGCAGGCAAACTTCTTGTAAGGGCTGTCTGTGTTTTAACAACAGTTAACATTTAATAACTTTGGCATTTTTAATTAAAGGTTTTTCTATAAACACTTGTTTATACTACCCCAAGTAAGGCATCCAAAATAGTATTTATTTGGTATAGTGGTATATTAGTTCACACAAAGATCTAGAACCAATCCTACAGCAAATTCAGCAGATCTTATTAGTGCATGTGTTTTCAGTGCATGTTTTCCAGCATAACCAAGATGACACATGCAGAACCTCAGGGACCAGAGGTGTCTAACACAACAGGAGCTCTCAGGCCTCTCTGACACGAATGGACACCTGTGGTAAGACAAGCCTGCTCTGCTTGCAGGTGTCACTGTGAGAGATGCCAGGATGGGAACAACAAGAACTGTCTTGAAGGTGAGACACTCTTACCTGGATGGGGCATGGTTATGGTGTCATTGGCACTGCTGGAGCCCACGTTGTATATTACAACTGCAGAGGCGTTGTGGTATGCAACGTTACGGATTTTCTCTCTGTATGTACAGTTCCCTGCAGCCACCAACGCCACCCACGCGTTGTTTTGCGCCATGGGAGGGAACCTGATGTTTGGGTCGCATGCCTGCCTGTCCTGCAGGAGGGACGGCGACAGGACCAGACCTCTGGCTTCTTTCTTGGGCGAGTGCTCACCGTACCGACCGCACTCGGTTTTCTCTGTCTTCACCTCCGAAGTGACAGGGTCCAGATAGGTGATGTTGACAAAGGCAGTGTACCATTCCTCCTTCTCTGCAACCGTGAAATCCAGGCACAGCAAGTGAACGAAGCAAAACGACAGCAGCCACGTTGAGAGAGCCAGATTGCGGCAAGCTCGGATGAGGGACGGTGCCATCGTGGGGCTGGCGGGCGGAGGATGGATGGATGGATGGATGACCCGCTCCGGCCGCTCTCCTCACTGGGAAGCTCGCTGCACGTTCCTCTTCTAAGGAGAGTCACCGGTTAAAGAAGCTTTAACGCTGCATGGCCAGTGGCAGATACCAGCCCTCACAGACGAGCTGTCTATACTGAGTTTGTGGGCTACAATACGTGCTGGAGCCAACTACACAGCTCCACCTGCACAAAAAGACGCCGTTGTGTGTTGTTGTTCACGGTCAGCTGTTTCCCGTCCTCGTTCCTTATTGGCTCCCCGCTCATCACCACGTGACCTGGTCGTGGATAAGGCGTCAGACGCCCCGTGGCATGTGGACAAATCACGTAAACCACTGTCCGCGAAATATAAAATGATGGGATGATGGATAAGTTAGACATAAGAAAGATAAAGTAGGCAGATAAAACTGGCTTCTGTTTGTTTCTTTGTCAAAGGCAAAGAAGAAATAATTGTAGTTATTTATTTTTTGTAAATTCACCAGAATTACCGATTTTTACACCATATAAACACAATTAATGATACATTTAAATATCTATTATATTACAAATTAAATAACTGATTTAGAATTTAAATAAATAAATACATTTATAAACACAAAGCAATAACACAAAACAACTAGATAGCACTCAGAGTCCAACTCAGTTCCCCCTAATGCCATAAAAGCTATATTCCCATCATAGTTTGACCTTCATAGCCCTGAACCTTAGTCCTTAGCGGATGTAATAACAAATATCACCAAATTTGGCAATTACTCAATAGGCTATTCTTAATTCTGTCTTTACATTTTGAATGAACAATTTCACTTTAAAATGGAATTGCACATTTATTATTATCCTTCAAGTTGTGTCTACATTTCCTATTATATATCATTCATTCAATATGTAGTGGCTTCAGGTTGTATTCAGTCCCCTTCACGTTTTGCACACACTTACTGTGCACAGGTCTGAGAGCAGGTTTGCGTCTTGGTAGCGCGGAAACCAAATGTAGGAACTAATCATTGATCGCTATGTTTCAGCCCGACCGGATCTAAAGACCGGGCCGACGAGTAGTCGTAGTGCTGATCTTTTCGGTAAAATAAATATGAGAATCAGACTTGTAGGTTTCCATTGACAGGTGTAATACTCAGGACAATGAAAACGACTGCTAGACAACTTAATCTTAAATCTTAATCTATAAAGTGTCCTAACTATTCGTGTCAGTGTAATAACTGTGTCTGATGCCAGGGAGTTGGCTAACACTGGGCAGTCTTAACAAAAACGTTATAAACCTTTCTTTGTCGTCAGTTTTTGGCTTTATAACATACCGCGTGTGTTAGCGATCTACTTTACCGATTAGAGCCAAAGTGTGTTTAATGACAGAAGCCAGATAAAGTGTTCAAAGCGAGTTATCTCCGGCTAGCTTAGCTGTTCCTAGAGCAACCTACTGCCTGTCCACCCCAGCTGTGTGCTCCGTGTTTGCAGGTAACCTGAAGTACAAGCAGCAGTTAGCTCCGTGGACACCAGCCTGTTGAACTAGAAATGCCCAAAAAGAAAACAGGTGCTCGGAAAAAGGCTGAGAGCCGCAAAGAGCGGGAGAAACAGATTCGAGCCAACCGGGACCATGTTGATGTGGCCAGACATCCCTGCAACTTCAACATGGTATGTAGCTCTGACACAGGCGGGTGTTTTGGGGGACATTTTGCATGTCCCCTTAGAGAGAAGGGCCACTGCAAATCAATACAATGTTTTCTGAGTGACCACATTTATCCTGTGATGAAACATTTCTATCCTGATGGGAGCGGTCTCCTCCAGGAAGACAGTGCTCCCATCTATAGGGCACAAGGGGTCACTGAATGGTTTGATGAGAACGAAAATGATGTGAATCATAAGCTGTGGCCTTCACAGTCACCAGATCTCAACCCATTTGAACACCTGTGGTAGATTTTGGAGCGACCACCATCATCAAAACACCAAACAAGGGAATATATTGTGGGAAAATGCTGTTCATCCCTGTAGAATCAATCCCAAGGAGCACTGAAGCTGTTCTGACTGCAACACCCTTACTAAGACACTTTATGTTGGGTTTTCCCTTAACGTGTCACTCCTCAGCACAGTAATGCTCAAAGAACCATATTTTATGTTATAGTTTAGTTTTTACATTGTTGCTTTTTGTGTTCTGTTTTGTAGGACTGTGATAAATGTCAGAGGTGAGTAACTGTGTTACTTAATGCCATTTCAAGTACGAGTAGACAATCACTGGTCAATGAGTTAACATGCATTGTTTTTCTTTTTAACGTCATTTGGTAGAAAACAGAAGAACAGAGCTTTCTGCTACTTCTGTAACGCAGTGCAGAAGCTGCCTGTCTGCGCTCAGTGTGGTGAGTAAACTGCACTTTTAGTCCCTAGGAACAGGCCCAGTTTAAAAATGCTGGACCCTACACTTATCATAATGCAGCCTGACCTAGTGTGTTGTTGGACCGTCCCTGCCAGACAAATGGTCATGTCTTTCAGTCTCCATACCTCCAGTTGAGATGCTGGTAATGCATACCTTCCATTATAAATTAGATGCATCAATCCCAAGATAAGACAACTCCTTAAACTTAGAAAGTTCCTCCAGAGCCACAGAACAAATCATACACCAGTTTCCACTGGTTTTGTAGTATTTACCAGTACAGCTACCAGTATAGACATTGAAACTATTCACCTTTGGTGTCCCCTAAGTGTAGCAATCCATGCCAATTACATTTAGAAGTGATAATAATGTGAAAGATAATCACTTCAAAATTCTCCACATAGTGGCATTAAAACAGGCTGTGACAACTTCAAATGCTTGTTGTCAGGAAAAACCAAGTGCATGAAGTCCTCAGACTGCGTCATCAAACATCCTGGGGTCCACAGCACTGGGATGGCCATGGTGGTAAGTTAGCAACATTTCTCAGTGACACCTCACAAGGCAAGAACGAGCCTTCTCAGTCCTAATGAGGACATTTGGTTGTTGCAGTGATGTAAACCTAGGTTTGTTGATAATGATTTATTTTAGCTCAAGACATTGTTTGCAAGTGTGCTTTTACACATTGTTGTTATCATGTCATATCAGTGTTTCATTCAGCTTAAAAGAATCAAAAACAAAGTGTTCTTACAGGAGACAATAGAAATGACCTCAAGCTTAACAAACAGCTTGTCCAGCAGTATCATACAGGTCTAGAAGATTTGGTGTGCGGTGGCATAGTATACAACACCCACACTGTCAAAACTGTGTAGAAATGTAGAAACTGTAAAATATGTGCCAACAGTATGAGGCATTCATGTCCATTATAACATGCATTAAGTTGTTCAGGGCTGTTCCTATTATCACTCTTTGCCACGGTCACACTTGTGCACTTTGTGCAAGTGTTGCAATGCTGTGCATGGACTTAATAATTTTATTGCTATAATAATATCCATAAGCGATGTGAAGGTAACACCTTCATACAGTATCAGATAACACTAGAAATAGAATAATGATATGAAACAAGTTCAAGATGCAAGCGATGAATGACAGCTCAGCACTCAGTGTATAACATCTGCATTTTTCAAAGTTTTAATTTTTCTTAAATCTGTTTAAGGTCAATTGATTTATGTCTATACAGAGGCCTTTGAAAAGAAATCTAACGCTCCGATTTTTGTCTTTGTAACTCACCTCTTGACCACAAGGGGGCAGTATGCGACTTCTGTGAAGCTTGGGTGTGCCACGGTAGGAAATGTCTGAGCACGCATGCTTGTGCATGTCCCCTGACTGATGCAGACTGCATTGAGTGTGAGCGTGGAGTCTGGGATCATGGTAAGACCCCCGTTTGATTGAAATTCACTTGGTCACATCAGTGTCACACCAATAACCATCACTGGCTGTGTTGAACTTTCTGAGCAGGAGGGCGAATCTTCCGCTGCTCCTTCTGTCAAAACTTCTTGTGTGAGGATGATCAGTTTGAGCACCAGGCGAGCTGCCAGGTCCTTCAGGCAGAAACATTCAAATGTGAGTCATTCAGTTTTATGTTCACATCATCATTAAAAGGTTAATGTGGAAAATGAAAGGTATCTGACAGAATAATAGCTGAGGGGCATGAGTGCAGGAGAGAAAACGTGACTGTTTACAGTTTGTTTTGCCCTTTTTCCAACATTCCACTGTAGGTGTTTCCTGTAATAGACTGGGACAGCACTCCTGTCTGCGCTGCAAGGTGAGGGGAACCTCTGTCCTTGACTTCACAAAACACAGCTGAGGAAGCCGACTGTGTCAAAAACGTTTACTCAAGTTTATGTGCGTTACAGTTTACTTCATGCCACACTAAGTGTTTTTATGTTAAACATCACATGCTGTTTCTAAAACAAAGAAGAACTGCCCACATCTCCTAAGTGATCGTTTCAGCTGCTTATGCTTTCAGTTTGTCCCATTACGGGAAATGCCCCTAACAACGGGAAACATGCAGATGTAAAGAAAAAATAACACAGCAGCAAGATAAAACTGGACTTCCCAAAATAAGGTGGAACTGATGCCCGGGTTTGAAACAATGGTTGCTGCTGCCATGACACGGTGGCAGCATGACAAGCTGACGCTTCAAAACTAAGTTTGTAAAGTGAATTATTAATGAGTTCATTTGAGTGGGCAAGGAGCTCTGTAGACAAGGCAAGAGAAAAGGGAGATGCAAATTTCTGGATGTGGATAAATGACTTTACAACAAGCCAGAACAATCACTGGATGTCATTCTGTATTTGAAACCAGAGTTAAAATTGTGTATCAATGTCATGTTTGTGCTGTTAACAATGAATGTTACTTCACCCGTGTCCTCTCAGGCCTGCTACTGTGATGACCACGCCAAGAGTAAGGTCTTCAAACAGGAGAAAGGCAAAGCTCCACCATGCCCCAAGTGTGGCCACGAGACCCAGGAGACCAAAGACCTCAGCATGTCCAGTGAGTCTCACACAAATATGAAAGCTGCCATTTGCTGAGTCAGGAATTTACAAAATAAACAGAGTGAAAATGGAGACACTCTTGAGAAATGAATTCCACGAAATGGTATAATTTCCTATAAAAAATATATTACAAAATTTTCTCAGAAGAGTGTCCACTCTGACACAATGTATGCTAAACACATTTGTCTTACTTAAGGCTTTGTCCTTGTTCCACTGCATCTCACCATTTATTCAGCTTACACTCAGTTTACCGAGACCCTGACACATGTTGATGTTTGTACTATTTGGTGCATCAGACCAAGTAGTTCTTAAAAAAAACTGTACTTCAGTCACAACATTGCAGCATTGCACTGAGGCGGAAAGTAACTAAGTACATTTACTCAAGTGCTGTACTTAAGTACAGTTTTGACGTATCTGTACTTGAGTATTTTCATTTTCTGCTACTTCATATTTCACTACATTTTTTGGAGAAGAATAGTGTACTTTGTACTTACTACATTTATTTTGTTTACTAGTTGCTTTTTAGAATGAGGTTAGTAAAATGAAATATAGTATAATAACATTTGTTGAGCCTTAAAATTCACAAGCTACCAAGCTGTATTTCAAATTAAAAGCATATAAACCAGTTAAAACTAGCTCCCCCTTTACCAGCTGCAACATTAAATGTCATGTACACAATAATATATCAGTAATTATAATCAAATAATCTGGGTACTTCTTCCACCACTGGCGGTGCGTTGTATCCAAAGCGTAGTCTGATGCAATTGTTTTGTTAAACTCATCCATGACTTTGGAAAAAGTAGTCTGATAGTTATCAGCGGGCAAACGTGCCAAACCACTGAGCTGATGCTCTCCACATCACGGGTGCTTCTGCAGAGGAGAGTGAGACAGGGTTTGAGATAAAAGTGAGTCAGTTGTCTTCTTTCTCTGTGACCTTTTTGAAAATCTAATGAATCTTGATATCTGTACTTACACACAAGCCACTTTACGATACTTACTTTCATCATCGTATACAGCACCAGGGATAAAACTAGGATTAGCGCCTCAGGTTGCACAATGTTCCACCGCCACAAAGCCAGATTCACAAGAATTTCAAAATCAAGTGGATGCTTGTACCAAATTTGAAGAAATTCCTGAGTTATTGCATTTATGAGAATGGACTGGATGGATAGAGTCGCATCCAGAGTTTAAGCTGTCGCTATGACAGAGGACGTGAAGCGAGGGGCACAGGGTGGTTATGGTGTCAGTTTGTTTTGAATCTCGCTCAACCCTGTAAGCTGAAAACAAATTAGGTGGAGTAACTTTAAGTGGCACAAACTACTACTATCATAAATCAACATTTTGATACACACTGACGTAAACCAACATGAAATGAACCTGTATTACATAATCAGCATCTTCTCTAGTTCACAGAATCACAGGATATATTATACGGTGACTGCCTTTGCCTCAGGATGATATTGTAATTGTGTCAAGTCACATCAGCATCCCACTGAATGAAACCAGGGTTAAGGTCATGTCTTGGTGTTTTCTGCAGCTCGCACGTTGAAATTCGGCCGCCAGGCTGGTGCTGATGACGACGATTACTATGGAGCGTCAGGGTACGATTCCTACTGGAAGAATGCAGCGTCTGGAGGCAGTGACCAACGGGACGAATACGGAGATGATGACGACTATGAGGAAGACGAGGAGGATGAGGAAGAAGATGATGATGATGATGAGGATGAGGACGAGGAGGAGGAGGAAGATGACTGCGAAGGGGATACAGCTACAGATTCCCTGGCTGATCTCAAATTAAATGCGGCTGCTCCTTAAGACAGAGACTGGGGAGCCTGTGCAGGTGACCATCAGTGGGTGCCAACTTGTTACAGTTCAGGAATTATTAGGGACAGACCTGAAACAAAAACCCCTCAAGACTTATCAGAATAAAAACTAGGGTTGGGTAGCAAAACTAGTGCTGATACACAACTCGCATTTCTGTGCTGATACTTATTCCAGTACCTTACTCTGAGGAATAAAAATATTATAAACATCATTGCAGCAGAAACACAAAATTAAGCACCAGAGTATTCATCTCACCAGACATTCATTCATTCATTCAACGTTTTACATGACACATTTCAGCTGGTACCAAAAACTACTGGGGTTTCGATACCCAGCCCCAGAGATAACATATTTTCTCCTTTTGCTGTTACAGTCAGAGCCAGATTAATGCACCGGGAGGCCCTGGGGTGAACATTTGCTGCGAATCCATTTATTTTCCCCTTGGTAAACAGTTTTATTTAGGAATATGCACCATGTAAATTTTGACACAGGGCCACAAGACAGTTAACAGAGTTGTGAATATGGGTGGAGCTGCTGTATTCCAGTGTAATTATCACCTCTTTAAGTTTTTTTTCCTTTAAATAATATCCTTAACAAAAAACAGTGGAGTCTAATGTAACAGCCATATGTGGTTTATATTTAGATTTTTTTTCAGCTGAACAAAATGTCAAAGTAGCAGCACTTTGAGATTAGTAGCTGTAATGTAATTACTACTTTTCTAATTAGTTATCACATTACTGTAACGTCTTATTGTCCCTACACTGCCAACATGACCAGTTGTTGATTTTAAAGTCCTTATAATCAGCTTTCATATTGTGCTTTAGTGATGTGGATTCCTAAGCAAATCTACAGTCATGGAAGTCACCACAAACTGCCCAGGGCCAATCCGGGGCCTTCTGGGCTCTGGATCAGTTGGCAGCTTGGGAATCCAGCCCTGGTTAAAGTGTAACATTATGTTATGATCATCATGTCTTTATTGTGTAACAGGGTTTGTTCTGCTGGGGAGATTGGTGATCATTGATGGGTTCCCCTGCTACAGTGCAACAGGTGTCCAAACATTTTTGACGTTTGCCCAGATCCTTGTAACCTGCGGCGTTTGCTGACATGATGCCAATAAATAATAAAATCCTACTTGACTGAACATTTTGTAATGAATGGGTATTAGTTCCTATGACTCATCTTAATCATTGCAATACGAAAAGCTACTGTTCTAACTCGTACCGGCGAATAACAGCATAATAAAGTGACGAATCACAGGAGGAGTGGACTTGAGCGCAACATGACCTTAACGGGGCGTGTTTGAGTGTGTGTCTGGAGCGAAATCTCGAGCGTACTCACGCCTGCCTCAGGGGTGAATGCTACTAGACACAAATGAGACTAAAGAGCTTCATTACCACAAGTGAAATGCAAAAACATGATCTTGCCTTGTTGCTCCGCGGCGTAGGAGAGCGAACGCTGCCGCTACGCAGATGACGGACTTCATGACTTCAACCCCGTTGATCCTCGTCCAGCTCACATGCCACAGAGACCTGCGAGCGGTAAGCCGACTTTCCATGTGTGTGGCAGAGGTGTAACCAAACTGTAGCCTAATTACACATCAGGTTTAGACTTGTAACAGGGAGTACAAGTACCATTTTCACGTACCAAAGTAGAAAGGCGACAAAGTTCACACTGTCAGGAACTAAATGGTGCGTAACCACTGGAGGTGTGTCAACCTGGTGATCCACGTGGGTCAGCAGGAGTCATTTCAGCGGCTGTCGGTGAAAGGCGCACCATTATGGTTATTTGGATAAAGCCAAAGGAAACACCAGTAGTGTCGCATTTTTTTGTTTCGGTTTCAGTTCTGCAGAGGAGGTCATCTGGTGTAAGTCCCTCCTCCTGCGCGAAGGTTGTAAATAGGTCCGATTGAATGCGCCACAGACAAATGGCGTCTGCAGGATTATATTTTATTTATTACGCACAAGAACCACCTACTGCAGCATATTGCTGGTACCACAAAATGTTTGCTGATTTTATCCTTCAACATTAAAACAAGATATTTTTCTCGTAATTACGACATATTGTACTGGAGTGAGCGGCTGCAGCGCACACACTTTGAGCAGGACCTGCTCTTTCAGTTCAGCAACAACCTGCGTTATTAGGAGGTGCGCTCCACCCGGTACTTGAGAATCGCTGGTCTGACACTTAAGTTCGCGCACAACAATTAGCCCACAGAACAACACATGAATGCAGCTCATGAGTCACGATAAATCTTGCACGCCCCGATGACATTACAGGCTTTGACAGTAAAGACACTTTGTGCGCTGCTGTCACTCGCTCCAGGGCAGTAGGCTGCTGTGTTTGATAGGGGAGTGTGCTATCATATTAGATATAGCTCCTCGGGCCATAGATTTGAAACTATATTTCTCTATAGACTGTAACACTGTACTATATCAGATCATGCGATGACAGCCGGGCGGAAAAATTACGCGCGGTGCGTGCAGGACTACGGCTGCAGGCGCCACTACCACAGAAAACACACCAGGGTCTGCACAGCTGTTCAAGTGGGCGAGAATGAAGAATGTGGCAAAGGCACACCAAGCATTTACGTGCTGGGCAACTGAAACGCAGATGTTTATGCCACTGCACTCCCCGTGGTACTGAAGTAACAATAAGTAAGACTATCATTAAAAAAAACAACTTATAAACATTACTATGCAGTAGTAGTAATAATATTCCATTATATGTAAAAGTCCTTAATTCAAAATGGTACTTAAATAATTAGCATTAAAAGTATCACAATTAAAAGGACTCATTATACAGAATGACACATTTCACATTAATGTGTATCATATTATTGGATAACAATTATTGATCAATTATTTTAATGTTGCAGCAGGCAAAGGTGGAGCTACTGTTAACTACTCAACTCAACTCAACTCAACTTTATTTATATAGCGCTTTACCACAGCGCAGCTGACCAAAGCACTTAACATATTGTACAAATATAAAAAAAACAACACATAAAAAGCTATAAACAATAATATAAACACTAACACTACAGACAGAGTCTCATTCCTGGTCAAACGCCAATGAATACAAGTATGTCTTCAAATAAGACTTAAAAGTAGACAGTGAGGGGGGCTGCCTAATATAAAGCGGCAACGCATTCCACAGTTTTGGACCTACCACAGCAAAGGCTCTATCCCCCCTAGTTTTCCGCCTGGCCCTCGGTGCCTCCAGAAGA